TGCCATACGCTCTCGGGTAACGGGGAAACGGAGGTCTCCAGCAGCCGCGATCAAAGCGAGGCTAAAAAATACAGCAGTCACCACGAAGGAAGGCAGTCGTGTGACATCGAAAATATCACTGGCTTAAAAAATCTTAATACGTCTTTTTTATTGCTGGCAGGTTTTGTTAAGTATTTTAATGTCTTCTATGTAGGATATATATATTTCTTTGGTAACCTATTTCTTTCAGCAGAAGATTCTCTGATTGTTCTCAGTTCTTCACACTTCATGTCAGAGGGCCCAGTAGCCTCCAACCCAGGTATGTACAGATATGAAAACGTGCAGGCAATGTCAGAAGGAGACAGCAGACAGTTGCTTCTGATACACATGGAGAAAAAGAGACACAGACTCTTCCTGCAGTTGTGGAAATTGAGGACAATGTAAGGAGATGACACATCCACAGCACATGAAGCTGTGATGAAGGCCCAGGCCCTCCCCTCCCCTCCCAATGCCCAGCGTCCATGCCCTCCACTCCAGGCCTGGCTTCAGTGTGCTTCCACAAGGGCACATTGGCGTTGTGTGCTTCAGCCCCGCCTCCAGGATGGGTTAAGTGCGCGCCTGTGTGGTTCCATCGCCCACGCTGCTGTCTCTGTACACACTCACCATGTCCTATGTTAACGGCTAGTAGGTCATCTTGCCTTTTAGACTGTGAGCTCCTGCAGGCAAGGAAAATATCTTTTCTCCTGGCTCATTTCAAGGGCTCCATACATTTTCATTTTTGTAAATGAAGGAATGAATAAATGAAGCAAAATCTGCCTGTGTAGAGGCCTTTGGGTGAGTTTCACTGAATTACCATTATGTTAGTTAATTCATCCATCACTCTTCAATACGTTAGGGATGACCTTGTGTCAGTGACTGGGCAGGTGTGGGAAACACAAAGACAGTAAGATCTGGTACCTGCTTCCAAAGTCTTGACATCTAGAGGTCAGCATGAGCAATCCATGCAACGAGACAGCAGGGAAACATGCTATAACAGAGATACGAGTGCGGTGGAATGGGGCAGATCAAGCAGTCTCAGAACTGGGGGCTTCAGGACAGTTTTTCAGGAGAAAATGAAATGTGAATGGGAGCTAAGAAGCAAGTGTTAACTAGGCAGAAAAGAGATGAGATTGCTCTTTTAGAGCAAAGAGTCACAAAGCAGCAGAGGATATCGTTAAATCTGAGAAATGAAGCATGGCTGTAAAGCGGGTGTGTGCAGAGGAGCAGGACAAGCAGGGGCTGGGGAGCTGTAAGCATGTAGTTCACGGGGCCTAGTGCCTCCCAGGAGGCCTCAACTCTGCAGCTGATCAGGAACCTCTAGGCCTTCCATGTGTGTATTTCAGATTCTGAAATCAATACGTGCTCACTGTGAAAATTTAGGAAACATGAGTAGTAGAAGCAGAGGAAGATGCATCGTTGTGTCACACCACAGACAGTCCGTGCTAACACACTTCCGTACAGTTATTCCACAGCAGCACAGCTATTTGTACAGAGCTCCCACCTTCCTCCTCTCGTGTAGTCAGGATGTGTTGCTGAACTGGCATCTGTGTTTGACAGGACTCATGAGTAGTGCCCACAAAGGAGGCTCACTGGAGCCTCAACGTCCACAGTTTCCACTGGAGCTTAAAGAAGGCATGGTCAATTGATTATTGCCCATGTAGCTAATTTCAGTCTCTAAAAAGATTACATTGTTTGACCAGAAGCCCTCACCCTAAGCCACACTATTGTTCTTTCCAGCTTGGCCAGTCCCACCTTAAGAGTATTTGAACGTGGTCATTGCCTGCCCTAAGTCACATTCCTGGGCTATCCAGTAGGACCCAAGGCCCCCAGGCAAACAGACACAATTGTGTCAGGTATCATATTCCAGGGATCCAGAGTTTGCCTCTCAGAGGCTGGGGGAGAAAGACCAGAACTTTTCCTTGCACAGGGACACATTTTTCACTCCCCATGGGCACTAGCTGTGCTCACCGGTAGTAGGGTGCTGATGTTCTTAAGCTGTCTCAGGGGACAGAGCTAGGGAACAAATGTATGCACATACACATTTACATCTCTATTAATTTCTCTATCATCTATCAATCTGTATCATCTATTACCTATCTCTCCTCATCTATCATCTACTTCTCTATCATTCGTCCATCTCTCTATCATCTACTCATCATCTTTCTATTTATCCATATTAAAAACCAGGAGTTCACACCAATACTTCCAATGCTAATCCAAATCCATAGGATTCATTGTCATTTTTCCCTTTCTCATCTTTGTAACTCTCTTCCCATTATCCTCAATGCATGTGCTCATTTGTTCAATCCTCCAGGACCGATCGGTCTTGCATCTCTGCCACCGTTCTCTCCCTCCCAGGCATAAGCGCCCTCCTAATGCTGCTTGATCTCCATCTCCATGCTTGGCCAACCCTCCAAGACAAAACCCTCTTCACAAACCCCATAACGGCCCACCCTCTACGTGGGTGCCATTCTCACATTTCCACCCCACTCTTGCTCAGACACCTCATAAGAAGGGAAGGAGGAAGAAGGGAGAGGAAGAAGAGCCATACACTGATTTGTTAGCATAGCATTTTCTGAGTTAGAAAACGTGACTTGTTCACTGAACATCATTCAGAAATATAGAAAAGTAGAGAGAAGAACTTGAAAGTCATCCACAACTGCTGTTCAGAGATTTCCATGAACATTTTTTTGTTTTACATTTTGTCTCTTCCTAAGAACATTTAAAAATAGTTGATAACATAATCTGAACAATTTTTACAACAAAATCGACAGACAAATTCGGACTTGTTCAAGACAGCAGTAGATCAAATGAGGGCAAATGCTGAAACAGAAGAATACTAAAAACTGATAGATTATGAAAACATTGGAAGATCCAGGAAAATGGACCTGAAAATACCACCAGTCACTGCTCATGCCCCCTCCAGAGGGTGATGCCTCCCTCTTGTGCACTCCTGCTCTGCTGTCGAGAGACTGCCGCTCTATTGTAGGTCATGTATCTTTAAGTGGCAGTGGTGGCTGAGGGAGGGAGGCACAGGGGAGGGGAGAGGAGAGAAAACAGTGGGAGAGGAGAGAAAATCATCTTGCGACGGTCATCTCACTCCTTGCTTCGGGGGTGCAGACTCCATCTCTGGTGGCATCACCCAGCCTGTTCACCATGCTTGCATGATGTTTGGTGTGTAGTCATCAGAGATACAAGTGCATGCTGGAGTCCGTAAGAGTCATAGTTTCTGGCCGTGACATGTCTGTTCAAGGAGTCTTCGTAGACACAACAGTGGAAACCGGAGAGGATGTGTCAGGGGCTGCCACACGACCCCTTCCAACACAAATTCTGCCTGCTGAACGCTGAAGAAAGCCAAAAGGAGGCTGATGATTGCGTAGGTGGGGTGTCTTGGAAGCAGAACTGAGGCCATGTTAGTGAGAAAGGGGAGAAGGAAATTTCAGGGAGCCCTTTAGCAGACCCATTCAGGGGAACACCACCACTGAAAACATTAATTACAAGTAAAAATGAAGACAACAGATTGTTTTTGGTTTTCCTGTGTGGGTGTGGGTGAAATACCCATGAATAAATGCATTATCAGCATTTTAACTTTTCTTTCCTCTAACAAGTACATTTTGGAAAAACACCTTGAAGAGTAAGAATCGGGTCATTTCTTTGGGCTGTCTGCACACTGGAAATGCTAACAATTAGAATACAGTCATTCCATGCTTCTTGGGTGAGCTTTTGGTCTTACCTACAATAAGCATTAGTGTGAACGTTTAGCTCCATTGTAATTGATAATCATCTCTGGGTATGTTAAACCCCAGAGAACAGAACGTTTCACTGAGATGCCCACCACCTACCTGGCCCTCCTAAAGGAGGATGTGCACTTTCAGGGTTTTGTTCCTGCTTAGTCAGAGTCAAAACCAATGTGGCGATGAAGCTGTGAATTTTGGAATTTAGCCCTCGGGATACATTTATGCTTTTGCGTCCTCTCTTGGGTAGTATATTTCCTGTATACTTATTTACATCTTAGTGTGAATATAATATTAACCCCCTTTTAAATAATGCATAGGAATTGTTAATACATTGCCATGAGTGATTTATTTTTATTAAAAAGCAAACAATGAAATAAGTATAGGTCTATAAGGAAAGGTATGATATACAAATCGTGAAGGTGAATTGGCTGGTAAGTACCTGGGGTTTTTGCACTTTATGCAAATATTAGAAAAATGGGTCACATCCAGTTCTTTCCCACTTCAGATTATATGCCACGAGACAATTTCAGTTGCATTGCTCCTCCCTCAGGGAGCCTTAAAAGGAACTCATATCTTTTAATAAAGAAGGTTTCGATAAAAGGTCAATTTTTTTTTTGTTATTTATAAGCATTTTGCCTTATCAACAAAAATAAATCTTCCTTTACTGAGGTGGCAATAAAGCCTTTCTTCATATGTGCACAAGGCAGTCACAGACAAAGCGTGGCAGGGAGATCACAGCCCAGAGAGAGGACAGAAAGAGACAATACTGAGAAGCTATGGGTAATACAGTTATTGGTTATTGTGCTTGGGCACTACATGTTTAGCACAGAGCTTCCTAGTAGCCAAAGCAAAAAGGAAAAGTGGATAAGTTCTGTGGATGTCACTGCCTGCTACAAGGAAAGCCACTCCTTCAACAGAAGAAATATTTCCAGGCCTTCATTTATTTTTTCTTTCAACAAATATTCGCTTAAAATGAACCAGGTAGAGTTAGGCTTGGAAGGGACTTGTAAACAAGACAAACACCTGCATCGATGGGGCAGCCTGTCCTGACGATGGCCAATGTTATTCTTCCTCTCTGTGCAAGCACATGCCCCTCCTCCATTGAGAGATAAAGCCAGCTTCTCCAACCAGAAACTGGGCTGATCTGGGAATGTGTTGACCAACAGGATGTAGCATAAGTCACACTAGGCCGGTCTGAGCCTACCTTTTTGAGAGAAGTGAAAATTCCTGCTTTCTTCCTTTTAGAAGCGAGCCACCACATATGAAATGCAACTACCCAGAGACCACCACACTCCCATGGCATGTGGAGGAGTGCTGGAGAACAAAGTGCCACATGGTGAGGCACCAGCCTCCGCTCCACCAAACCACCAGCTGGATCCAGCCACGTGAGTGACCGTGACAAGTGTTGCGGGAAACAGCAGCAAACCACACTGCTGAGCCCTTCCTTAATCATGAGCAGAACAGTGTTTAACAACTGACTCCAGGTTCTGGTATCTTTGGCATTTCCAGCAGCTGTTGTTTTTTTCTCCAGTATGTTTTGGGAGTAGTTTGTTGCATAAGCTCAAAACCAATAACTTACAATTTCAGAGAAGACCAACAGATAAACAAGCAGTAACAATAAGTATGATAAAAGTTGGGCTGGTTTCCTCTGCTGTGTATTTCTGGGAGCTGTAATCGTACAAATATTTTCAGTTCACCTGATCAGCTGGCTCCTGATTAGGTTCTGTCAATCGCAGGCACTGTCAATTTAGCCCTTGGGATAACTGATAGGAGGTTAGAAAGTAGGAGGAAGGGACGGTATTTTTCCTTCTCTTTTCTGGAGTAGTGATTGACTCCAGGTTCTGGTATCTTTGGCATTTCCAGCAGAAGTCACTGGAGCTGCCGATGAGTTTCAGCAGTTCTAGAAGCTGAGACAGTGTGTAGTGAGTGGCATGTTCTCATGGTGGCCATCACAGCAGCTAAGCCACTGAGGCATCAGCAGCCTGGTTGATTCCAGTGGTATTATCTGCAGGCTCTAACAATGGCTTCCAACAGAACCTCTGGGGCGGGTGCCGACCCGATGTCTACTGGAAAGGGAGTCTAGGCAATGGGGTTTGCAGAGATCCAGGCCCTCAAAAAGGAGAAGACTATAAAAGACATTAAAGAGGACACAAGTGAACCAGAAAATGACCAGAGCAGCCCACCCTTCTGGCTATTTGTCAGCCTTTCCCAGCCTTCCGCCTGGGTTTCATTTCTTTATGACACAATGCTCAGGGTAGCTTGCTGGAATTGTAGGAGACAAGTGAAACATTTTCAACTACTTTTTCAGAAGGTGAGGCATAAAGTCCCATCCACAGCTGTCCGTGACGCCCACCTTGGATGACGCCGACAAGGTGGTTCCGGCCAAAGCCACTGGTACCCTGGAGTTGTGTAATGGAAGGGGGAACAGAGAGTTCCTACTCCCACCACACAATCTTTTTAGACTGAGTTCTGTAAAGCAACCCCTGTAAATATGTCTCAGACGGCAACCAGTGTGGGAGATACTTACAGGGGATGCTTTTCAGAACTAAATCTTAAAAGGATTGTCATATGTCATATAACAGAAATGTCTAATGCAACGACTGCAAAGGTTCAAATGATCTTTTGGGCCAAATCTTATATTGCCTCCAACACAAACCGAGAGCATAGAATTAAAATTTGGTCAAGGAATGGACGTGGCTATCTCTGCATGAATAGTACAGTTTCCCCCCATACCATCATATCCCTGCCTGCAACTCATGCTGTTGGCTTATGCACGGCCCAGGCTCGCGCTGGTCCATATTCATGCTTTTAACTGATTCTGATTTTGATTGTCTGAATCACGCTGAACACATGAGCATCAGGAGGAGTCACAATTCGGTCAATCCCAGTGACTGGCACAAGAACTGTTTCAAACAATAGAACTTGCCAAGGAGGTGGCCCTGGCTCTTCCGGATAGTGGTTGGCTCACGCAGGCTTACATTATGGTTAAGAGCATGCGGGCCTAAGCATGGAAAGAAATATTTCAATCCTACTCTGGAAATGGCTTAGAAGCTAAGAAAGTTTCAAGAACTTTCCATCTCGGAAAACGTGCATTTGCTAGGAGTGTTGACCTCAACTTAGCCGCGTGTGCCATTCTGTTCAGAGGCTGATCCCGTGCCTCAGTTTCCCCAATTTCTGTGAAAGCTGACTTGGTGGATGGGATCTGGTTTCTGTCCTTGCCCTATATGTCCCTGTGCAAACCTCTACTGAAGCTGTATTTCTACATGCAGCGCTCTCACTGTTTAATATCTCAGCCCTAGTGACTCCTGCTTCTGGAAGCACCTCCCCTCCCTTCTCAGTCCTCCAGCAGCTTCAGAGGGAGGCTCCTGTGGCTGGGATCTTTCAGGCTCCTTCTCGTCTCTCCACCCTGTTCACTCTCTCACTGTCTGCGGGCCGGAAACACTCAGTGGGGGCATAGAGAACAGTGAATGGCCTAAACCTAAGAATTTCTTTGTCTGTCAGATTTGACAGCTAAATATTATCATTATTTGTTGTGTAGATTTGGTATGTGAACACAGCAAAGCTCATTACACAGCCCGTTTTGGGGGATTGTGATTTACGAGGTAATTTTTCAGGTCTCCGCATGTCCTTAAGGATTACACCGATTTTCACAGTCATCTTTTTCAGCTAAGGCTTATAAATTTAAGAATGACACGTTTCAAAAACATTGGCATTCCCACACCGGGAGTCGAACCCGGGCCGCCTGGGTGAAAACCAGGAATCCTAACCGCTAGACCATGTGGGAAATGACGGAAGGGTGTCGAATTCTAAAGCTATTGAATCATTTCCGCCTGTCACTGCCTCGTTCTTCCAGGCCACGAACTCCTGTCTGCGCCTGCGCGGGCTTTTGGCGCCGGTTCCCCTGCTGAGGGCGCTGGGCTGGTTTCTCCAAACGCGGAGGCCGCTGGGCGCTGTGGCGTCTCCCGGCTCTGCGTTCTCGCGCCCGGCCTCAGTTTCCGGAAAGCTCCACGGTTTGAGCGGCTGGAGAAGCGCGCGCGCGGCCCTGGCTCAGGGGCGGGTTCCGGGGTGGGCCGCGTTCTGCCAGTCAGGCCGTTTGCACTGAAACGTTGCGTTGAGATGAATGCCGAGCCCGGGGGGATGAGACCCCGAATAACCGGGACGAAAGGCCCGGGCGCTGCCGGCCGTGAGGTCCCGCTTAGAGCCGCCCAGAGCGGCGGCCGGGCGGGAGCTGGAGGCCTCATCCTCCGCGGGCCAACCGGGGACGGACAACCACACCCCGCGTGTCCTCACCCGCCGGCGGGAGCCCCGCGGTGACAGCGCGCGGACGCAGCGGGGAGCACCCTGGGCCCGGGCGGGCGGAGGGGAGCGTGGGGAAGATCCCTGCTGCAGTGGGCTTGGGACCTGGGAGCTAAGGGCTCTGCGCGGCCACCCCGAGGACACAGTTCACCTGTGACGAGCCTGCGCACCCGGCCACACGGACCCCCGCGTTAAAAAGAGGTCGCATTTAGGGACGGCCTGACATAATAAGACAAAAATAAAAACGAAACAGCCAAAGTAATAAGGGAACGACCCCTTTAATGCACTATGGTGACAGCACTTATACGCGGGGGAAAGTGGAAAACCAAACCGCTGAATGGCAGATAAACATGTAAAACCCATCCAGGGAAAAGGAAACGGGACTGCGGTTAGGAAACCACACAGACACCGCGACGGACACACAACTCGGCCGGAGCGGGCCCTTTAAGGCCAGGAAGCCCGTGGCTAAAAGGCGCTGGAGAAAGCTCAGCCTCGCCGCTTCTCAGCCGGCATCTGGCCAACTAGCCAAAGGGTGGAAGTGTCAGGTGCCGGCAAGTGGCGCAAAAGAACGTCCTCGAAACCTGTAAAGAGTGACCAGGGTGGGAGACTGTCAGGACTTCCTAAACATGCCCGTGATCAAGCCGTTCCATTTGGAAAACGTTTGCAAAACCAGCATGGTTCTGGAACTGCTGTGCATACACTGACCAGGAAGAAACACTGCTTTGAAAAGAAATACCCTGAAAATGTTAGACACAGCCGAGGGCCCGGAGCACTGGAGCCGGCAGAACCGTCCTGAGCAATTAGCACGGAAGAATGGAGGGGTGAAGAGTGTGCATTTCAGCTCCAGGAACGTCAAAGGTCTATGTGATAAAAGAATTCTTAAGTATTCCCAACGTTTGCGTGATGAAATCACTATAAACAACGCAACAGCTAGCCCTAGGCTGGGAGAAAATATTTGAACTATTTTTCCGTAGGAAAAGGTGACTGTCCTTACCATGCGACTGAACCTGAGCATTCAAGAAAAACCCACAGAAGGGGCCGACGGTGTGAATGGAGGGTTTAGAGGAGAGGGTTCTGATTGGTCAGTAGATGGGGGCTGGAGCCAGCTCAACCTTGCTGGTACCATAGCAACACAGTTTAAAGCAGTGCTAAAATACCCAGCATTAGGGAGGAAGCCACGCCACAGTCTCAGACAATGACAATAGGCACAGCCCCTTTAGGGCAGGAGCAACCTGACAATTATCTATCAAAATAGGAAGGTGCACCTTCAATCCAGAAATTTCAATCAGCATTGCCCAAGGCCGGGAGCCCTGTGACGGCCATGTCTTAAAGGAGTCAGCCTCGGGCGACACGCTGGGCAGTAGCAAGCAGTGGGCACTTGGTAACCTTAGGGCCTCTACAACCTGGTCGGCTGCTCTTACACCAGGACAAGGCCATTCACCTTTCTGACAAATTAACAGAGTGGCTGGCTTTCCCCTGCTGTGCTGTGCAGTTTTGCTGGGAATCGGCTGCCCATGTAGAGGCTGTCTTTCTCTCTCAGTGGAGCCATGGATGGGTAAGGGGTGAGTGTTGATTCTAGGTCCAGATGCTTGGACAAGTGGCGATTCTAGTCCACTACCTGATGCAGAGGATTCTGAGGCTGGAGGAGGAGCCAGCGCCACAGGTGGAACGATAGTGGGTCCCTGAGTCACTGCTTGGAAGCCACTTCCAACCACCAACGTACACATCGGTTCTTACAGCTAGAAATACAGTTTTATGGCATTCATCATCCAAATTTAGAGCTTGTTATCACTACCCTAAGTGACCCAACAGGCTCCTGAAAAAAGGGCAAGCGCCACAGAAAGAAAACAAATGTTCTAGTAGATGATTACATGCCTTGGCGATGATGGGGGAGGCGGAGTCATGGGGGTAAAGTGTGGTACAAACCGAAGTATAGTAAGAAGACTTGAATAGTTTGCTTCATTTTACCGAGTAGTGTATCAGGATCCTTCTCTTCAGTTTGGTAATATTGATCCAAATAATTTTCTTAAATGGGAATTAATATACATTTCTATAATTTATTGGATACTTAATGTATTTTTTAAATTTA